TTCCAATGAAACTGATATCATTTTTCCAAAAAAAAAAAAAAAGGGGTAAAAGAAATAAGAAGTCTTTATGAAAGAAGTTTAATTATATTCCTTATTTCCTAAAAAAGAGCTTTTTGTTTGTTTTTCTCCTTTTCTTTTTATCATATCTTTAATAGGAAACCGAATGAAATGAGATCAACCCAAAGAAAATTGAACGATATAGATATGACTCAAAGATTTGTCACTTTGACTCAAAGACAATTATACATATTCAAAATTTCTTGAGCATTCGAGTAGTAAGCCCACATGGGATATGGGATTTGGGCATCGTGGTTGTTTGCGCCGATGTTGCATTCTTTTCAATTGGGCTCGGGCCCATAACATGGGTAATACTCATCGGAAATCTATCTGATGAGGTTACAAGCCCAAGATTCTAGTCTAGCCATATCGGTGAACTGCTTAGTGAGCGGGTGGTGTCGATGACATTTCTAACCATCTCTAACAATATAAAAGTTGGTGGAATGTTTTTCGTGCTGGCGGGAATAATGGTGGTTGAAACGGTGTTCTTTTACTTCTTTCTGCCGGAGACAAAAGGCAAGACATTAGAAGAGATGGGGACGATTTTTTAAGACAAAGATACAACAAATGTGAATAGGGTGAGGGAAATGAGAGAGATGTAGTGAGTGTTGCCTTCAACGCCTTCGATTTTTATTCTTACTATCAATTAAAATATCAGATATGCTTATATATCGTTGTATAAAAAAAATTCAAGCTTATTTCACAAAGCTCGTTCTAAGTTCGATTCTTGGCAGTTGGCGAATTACACAATGATGGCTAAGGGTAGACTGAAGTACCTCTATGAATCTTTCCGGCCACCAAAAGAGTTTAAAAAAATTGTTATTTAGACTATCGAGATTGTGTTTTAATCGTGTCACTGGATATCAACGTGAAAAAACCTACAATTAGAAGTTGCTTATAATTAGGAATGAAGGGTGGTGGATAAATTCATAACGACATGACATAATAACAATGTCAGTATTTTAGAGAGACACATTAACGGTCCATAACTAAAACCACACCAATAATGTTTGGGATTTATACTAAAGTCGCTGAGTAACTTGAAGTAAAACCACACAAAATAAATCATGTAGAATTCTTGTATTCTTCAACAAAAATGAATAATAAACAATTCGTGCACGATGCACGAAAATTAGTGGTCACTGGAGATAGTTAATTAAGTGTATCAGATTAGATTAGAACACACTAATCTCCAATATTAAACTACGTACAATTGTATAACCAGTCTGTTCACAAGTAAAAAAAGAAGAAAAGAATAGAGAAGTTGGACAAAGACAAGAGGATGACAAACAACTAAGACAAAAAAGGTTGTTCTTCACGGGTGGATAAAAATTAAAAAGCCCGTGCTTGCACACGCAACTGTAACTATACAAAATGAGTCTGATTGATTTGAGTTACTCGATATGGTAAAAATTCCAAGCAATTTTCATAAACTTTGTTTTTTTCCATCTTGTTGTGCCTATATTTGGGTCCAAATCCTTTTTTCTGTGATTAATTTTGAAAAGCCTGTCCATATTTACCAATCAGTGCCCAACAATCCACATCTTGAATGGGATACGTTTACCAAATTGCTCCTTGCCCTAAAAAGATCAACACTGTTTAGGGTTGAGCTGTTTTATGAATTAATTAAAATAAACAGAGGTACGAATTAACTTTAAAGATTGATCATCCTTTTTCAAGTTCGAAGTAACGGAATTAGACAGACGTAAGTCAGTATTAGCCAAAGTGTTGCTTGTTTTTATAAATACTATACACATAAAGTTAAGATTGCAACTAAACCCTAAAGCTTGTTCATCTTGTTTTCAGTTAATTAACCAGAATTAGATCCAAATCAGTATGAATGATCCAAAACTTGGCTTGTGTTTATAGAAACTCCAAATAAACTTAAGATTGCAACTAAGCCCTAAAGATTGCTCATCTTGTTTCCAGTCCAAATTAACTTATTAAAGACTGTTCATCTTGTTTCGTATTAAAATTTAGAGTTGTTAATTTTTTTTCAGGTTCGAATTCACTAAGATTAGACAAAAATCAGCCAGAATTAGCTAGGGTTTAACTTGCTGAACCCTAAAGATTAATCATCTTGTTTTCAGTCTGAATTAACTAGATTTAAACACATATGACTCTGAATTAGCTAAAACTTGGCTTGTTTTAGAGACACCACATAAATTAAGATCCCAAATTTCCAATGAGGGTGATGAGTGTTTTGCAAGCTTTGGCTCATAGCTTGGTCCATTGCCCTTGTCTTGTTTACTCAACCCTATCCCTTTGGGCTAATCGTGGAAATAATAACCACCATTTTCACTCAAAAGTCATACTCAAAATGTCAAACACTAGCATCTCTTGCAAGTCCAGATCGATTTTTTTATTTTATTTTCAGAGCCTGGACTTTTTAATTATAAGAAGAGCATGAAAGCAAGCGTAAGTGGATGAGGAAATCTATGTCGTTGCAATAAGTTTCTTCTTGTCAAAGAGCGAACTTCTACGTAAAAAATGAATCCCATCTTCAGAAGACTGTCTGTTAGCTCTTGGTTGCATGGGAGCATTGGTAGTAAAGGTCAAGAACCTGCGCTCCCCAATCTGTACTTTAGCTGTTGGAAGCTTCTAAGACTTTGGGATGCTCTTCTTCAAATATACATACATATATATACATACATACATATATATATATATGCCACTAGGATTTCTTTGTTTTAAAATTGTAACGTACGTAGTATTCAGTACATGAAAATTTTCATGTTCTTTGGTTCAAGCTAAGAGTTTTAGGTCCTCTCAATTGGTCTTCTAACCAGTGGACGAATTGGAAGCAGACATGAACATGTTGACAACAGATATAAACCAAATATTCAGATAAACATCAAAAAGCCCGATAAATAATAATATTACCCATATACAACATGGAAAAGGTGACAATATAACCTTTGTCCTCCAGTCTGAATCTCACATTTCAAATATCTCTCTCTCTCTCTCTCTCTCTCGTATGAAAATATGCACGTTACCAGGGTTGGTGGGTTATAAACCTGCATGTTTGATCAGGTTTACCACTTTCTAGGGCATTCTTTTTTATGCAACGACGTCTGCTCATAGAAACTCTTCCAATTTCAAGAGCTAAATGAGAACTTGCATATGGACGAATATACATGGTTTTGAAGAATACTGTGCATTTGTTGTATGGTCTTTCGGCAAAGAAAATGTACCATTTATTATTAAAATTGTAGCTCATGGACATAGATTACGCAAGCAGAGAACCTATATATTATTCAGACTTCAAAACAATACTTTTATGATGAATGAAAATTCTAAACTTTTTTTAGAATGCGATAACAATTATTAATCATCAATAAAACTAAACTATTAGGTTCCGAGCACATAGTACTCTCTACATGCATGGTAAGTGGTTGAATTGAGCCAGGCTGCGCTACAAATATGTTGGCTAATGACCCTCCCATTTCCATGCTTCATGCATCTGTCTGTTTATGTAAACGTACTTACCAGCATAGAGACTCCACTGTACGTATATTAAGAAAAAACAAAAGGACCAACATGTTCCCTATTTAAAAATGATGTGTCACCAATAGGAATCAACACGTTTATCAACGTTTAAGTTCTATACCAATCATTGACTTCCATGTCACTTAGTTTCTAAAACTTTGTCTCCAAATTTAGTCTCCCTAGTATTACCCTTTAAAAATGCGTAATACTAGAGAGAAAATTTCTAAACTAAATTTTACAAACTAAAGGATGTGGTTGTTGGTAATTGGATTATCAATTAAGTGCTTACTTATTTCCTATTGGTGACACATCATTAAGACAATCCATCACTTGCTAAGTCAATAATTTTTAGTATCTAATTTCTTCTTTCTGTTAATTTAATATAGGGGACTGTTATTTGCACTTCAAAAATCTCATTGCGCACTCCTCACAACAAGCATATTTTTCTTTTCATAAATATAAACAATTTAGGGTGCCAATAACAATTCATTTTAATACATACCTGCATGTATAGATATATATTAATGGAAGGTCATAACAGCCCGCAGTTGATTCCTATACAAGAACCAAGAAAGCAACATCCATAGTTTATAATAATTTTGGATCTCCGATGTTTATTTGACACCAGTATTTTACTCTATTCATCGTCATTAATTCATGGAAGTGCATATAGTTCAGTACATAGGCTTTTACTTCCTTGTAACATAGTCATCAATTAATCTAACTTTGAATTGGATAATGTAAACGTAACAATGTCTTGGAAAAAGGTAAAAACTACACTAGAATGTTATGAAGCCAAATGACATCACAGATAACATTAATCATAAAACGTCTACAAGATGGAAGAGCTTGCTCGGAGAAATTGAATTCAAATTGCATAATAAACCCAAACAAGTGAAATCATGTCTCATGAAACATGTACAATTATTTAGTGTCACATGTACATGTGAAAAAATCTACAAATACACAGGTGCAAAATTTAATGTTCATATAATGAAATCATCTTTGCAAGGATCTACATCATATCTTAAGCTACAATTTTGAATTTTCTTAGGATATATAGTTTGCTTATATACAAACCCTACTTCGCATACAAGGGTACAAGGTTTAGAACCAAGTAACTAGAGCAGTGCGACGCTCTCTTTCTTCAATTTCAAATATAGAAACTTACGTTCTTTCAAATATAGTTTAAATTTCAACTATACACCTTTAATAGCATCAAAAGATGACTAAAGTTTTTGGTCCATCCCCATGCACACTACCTAATATATAGTGAATGGGCAATTACTTAATAACCATAGATAGAAGGCATTCCTCAGATCTGCAGGCAACTGGTTCATCATCTAGCTGCCCATGCATTCATCTCAATGATTTCACATTCATAATTCATTCTCAAGGCAAGATTCAAATTGGTTGAAACTAAAATACAGGTAACGAGAAAATAAAACATTATTATTACACTGGCAATATTTCACTTTTAGCTAATTTAAACTGTGAGGAGAAAGCTTAACTTGGATACACAACGGAGATCACATTCGTTCTAACGATTACTTTAGCATCTACGAAAATAAAATAAAATGTGGCTACGAGGTCAACAACAGGCAGTATATAATCAAATAATCAAAACCAGTGTGTCTTGTGAGATGACAGAGGAGAGGACAAAACCAGCAAAAAGTTTCCTTAGACAACTGTTAAAATATCATTTAAAAAACTCCCACTTTCGGTTTCTCATGCATTTATATCCCTCTCATCCAAACTCCACCATCTCTCTCTAGAAATTCAGTTCTCCTTCTCCATAGCTCTGCAATTGCAATGGAAAACCGATTCAAACTCAAGCTCTCAAACATGTTCCGATCCTCATTCGGCTCCTGCAGGACCCGAAACTTGTCTGACGTGATCGAAAAATCCGTCTTCTTGCCTGAAAACCAGCAAGGCTTGCACGCCGCCGATCCGCCTCATAAACAGCCGGCAGCTCTACCGATTCCTTCCATTTGCAGACCCAAATGCTCCGACTCAAACCAACCCATTATCTCTATCAAGGATGTAATGCTTCCAAGACGCAACATTTTTGAAAAGTACCCTCCTTTTGTAAAACCCTTTAATCCCGACGGCCACACATGCCCTCCAGCCTCGCCGATCTCGCAGCCGTTAAACCCCTTCTACAACCACCATGAAAAAAGCTCGAAACAGATAAAAATCAGAGACAAGAAGAAGACGAAGGCGAGGAATTCAAAGAAGAACAAATCCAACGGCGATTTTTTCCCGTTCAGTACGTCTTCTTTTGATACCAATACCTACAGAGGGTGGTGGTCGAGCAGTGACGATGAGACAGACACTCTGTTTTCTTCAAAGAGCCACTCCTCCCACTCCTCCCGGCCCCGGTTGCGCCGCCGTTCCCGGCCAAACGGGAGCAGCAGCAGCCGCAGAAGAGAGAGCTCCGACGTGGGTCTGCTTCCGTTGCAAGGAAGAGTGAAGGACAGCTTTGCTGTGGTGAAGAAGTCGAGCGATCCGTACAACGACTTCAGGACGTCAATGGTGGAGATGATCTTCGAGAAGCAGATATTTTCGGCGAAGGATCTAGAACAGCTTCTGCAGTGTTTTCTGTCGTTGAATTCGACACACCATCACAGGGTGATTATTGAGGTTTTTACTGAAATTTGGGAAGCCTTGTTTTCCAACTGGGGATCTTGAAAAAAAAAAAAAAAAAAACAGAAAAAAGAAGAAGAAAACTCTCCATTTTCTCTGCTTATTACTCTGTTTTCTCTGTAATATGTGTTTTCTAGAGTATTAATTAATAGTTAGAATCTAACTTTGGATAACTACTTTGACTGGGTTTAGTAGTACTTCACTTTCGAATACTGAAAGATGGTTCAAGTTCGAATATCATATTCCCGTCGATAAAAAAAAGACGGCATTAATATGTAATTTATTTCTTTTTTATTTCTTAGTAAAAGTGGTTTCTATATTCTTGTATATTTTCTAATGATGATTTCTTGGTTTTCTTTTGTTCTTTTTATGATTTGACAGAAAAAGTAAAACAAAAACAATTCGGATTTGAAAATATGAAGCAAGAAAAAAGATTGTGGAAGTTCATCGATGCTTTTTGAAAAACAGATTGGTCGAGTAAAAAGGGTTTGAATGTTTCCATTACTTTTTTTGAGTGTTAGATGACAACTTTTACAACTAGAACACTTGAAAGACGGGGAAAGCAGGTGGTTAGATCACATAAAGTTACAATAATTTTTTGTGTGGTTGGACTTTTTTGAATTTCCATGCCAAAGTTGCACCAAAAGAATACAAAAAGATAAATCCAGATTCCAAAATCCTCTGGATAAAATGTCCTTTTATCAAACATTATTTTTGGGAAATGTCGGATCCCTTTTTCTTAATACATCAAATTAGAAAATTCGTATCATTGAAATTTAATCCAATTACTATAAACAGGAGTTCATTTTAAAAGTTATAATAACTTAACTGTTGGATCAAATTTCAATGACATAAATTCTCTAATTTAATAGATTAGGAAGAAGAGATCGGGATATGATCTCCTTCCTTATTTTCGTACTACACCCACACAGAGGCTAGCTTCTCCCTAACCTAAAAAGAATAGGGTCAACTTCAAAGCTTTGGTGGGGTTCCTTTTAGTCTTCTAGCGAATTTGCAAATTACATTTTTGTTATTATGTATGAAAAAGCGATACCGACGGAGAAGAATTCAAAAGCATAACATTTGAACGCCCTAAACCACTTTATTCATCCATCTTTGATACAAAGATAAACATTTTCGTTTTTAGCGAAAGTGTTTTTGAGTTTTTAAAGTACTTGAAGCGTAGTTTAGAAGAATCACCAATTATATATTTTTTGTATGAAATACTTCATATATTTTTTTTAAATTTACTTATATTTTTATTAAGAATTAGTTTTAAAAGCACATTTCGTCATTTTAAATTTATTTTCAAATGCACCCTTAATATTTGCAACTTGTTAAGCAAAGAGACACTATATTATTGGGAGTAGGTGAATCTATTTTTGTTGTGCTGTCAAACCACATCTGTTAAATTTATAGAATCAAATTTGATTCCTTCATTATATATTGAAAACAGAGACAAAACATAACCAGTATAGCACACCCTACCACCCTAACATCAAATCTAGCTTTAGGTTTGCAGTATATAGCTTCATTCCCATTCTATCCAACATTCTCCGGCGTTCAAATTAGAGAATTTTAACGAAAATTTTTTGGTACTATTTACTTTAGCGAAAAATTATATTTTTACTTTAAAAAAGTTAATCTCAGTGCTATTCACTTACAACATATTTTTGTCTTTTTCGTTAAAACTCAAAACTTTCAGACCTTTTTCATTAGCTTTCCTTTCAAATTAAGCTTCAACATTCTTTATCATTCAAATTAAGCTTCAAACATACCAAAAAACATTGATACTTGTTAAGTTGTGACCATCTAAATTTAAATTATTTGTCTGCGTCTTAATAAATAAATAAACAAATAAACTCGAAAGAGTGTCTCATTTGTGTTAGTTGTTTGGTTATGAGGATCTAAATCAGTTTCAATTGGCAGACTCATAATATGAGCACACATGAAAACTCAAAACAGTGTCCCGTCTCCGTAATTTGCAAGCTGTTAGCATCTAACTTAGAATCATGGCTTTATATTATGAACAAACATGAAAACTCGAAAGAGTATTCTTCTTATATGCATTAAGTAAATGCACTGTTCTAAAAATCCCTGCATAGCTCCGCCTAGGCGCTAGGCGGCTGGCCACCGTCACGATTAATGCCTAGGCGTTTGAAAAATAAAAAAAAGTGCCTAGACCGCCTAGCCACCCGCCTAGATCGCGACTCACTTAAACAAAAAATAAATAACTTTCATTTTGCATTTTATTTTTTTCAATAAATTGTAAGAGACTTGTTGTATACTTAAATGAACGCACATTATATCATTGGTCCCCATGTTTTCATTATGTTTCAACACTTCATAATATATATGTCATTCTATTTTATAGTTTATGATAAAATTAAATATATTTAAGGTATATGCAGACACTTATTTACACGAAATATAATAGATTTACTTAAATTTGCATAAATCCCACCTAGCCACTAAGTCCCAGCCCGCCGTCCGACTAGCGGCTATCATCTTTTAGAACCTTGAGTAAATGAATACTCATTACGCGTATGTGTTGTTAGTACGTTAATGTGAATCATTAACCACATAAATTATTGTGGTTCAAATTGATTGAACTTTACCTAAATGGTATCACTTTGGCAATAATGTTAACTGAATTGTCAATTAATTGATACATGAATGAATGTGAGGACACATTCCATTCCAAAAGGTTCTTAAAAACCGATATGTCAAGTAATTGCAGCAGCAGCAGCTTTTCTTTTGAAAACTGATACGTCCGTTTCAAAGCTAAATAGGGCAAATGGGTTTTGCCTAGAACTAAAAATTGAAATGAAAGACAAGACACAATGGAAGGAGAAAATATAGGGATCAGAGATTTTGAAGCAAAAGTGGGGACGTTTTGGTAGAATGTGATATCTTGGAAATTCGAACCTCATGATCTATTTTAGAAAATATGGTGTTGTCTCCACGCTCTTTATTATTATTTATACACATTTTGATTTTTAACTATCGAGTAAATTAAAAATAATTAAAAAATAAATGTTAACATGATATATGTGAATAACATGATATTTTCAAAAATATTTTCTATCAATTCATATATATAAGAAATATTAACGTCTACTTATACTATAATATATATAATGACACGCCGAGTAACAAGCGTTTCAGTTACACATAAATTTCTCCTCTTTCTCCCGTGACTTTTTGGATGACCTATAAGACTGGAGGGCTGAGCTCTGCAACAACGGTTCCGTCCTGTGTGTAATTACTGTTCACCCAACTTGGAAGCAATTTTAAAGAATGTGTGACTATGCCAATGATGTTTACATTTGAGTGGTTCCTACATTGGGCTACATTTGCATTTTAATGGTCGCAGTTTTTTGGGTTACCGAGCCTCATGCTCATTTTCTCCATTGGGCTAACGATTTTTGAAATCGCATGTTTTGGGTTCCTGTGCCCTCTCTCCGTCTCACATATATTCTCAGATAAATTAGTTGAGCTTTTTGGTTTGGACCGATCGTGGAAGGAGATTAAGAACTTGGACCATTTCTGCATCCTGCAAAATTGACAGGTGACAATTGAATGATTTTGAGGAGGGAATGGACCACAGTTTAAACCCCTGCAATACCGTATGTCGTTATGTTTTTTGTCAATAACCCACTCAGGTTTGAGCACAAGGACTAACAACGATGAGGAAGTTTTTCAAATACTATGAGAATAAGGGGTACATAGTCCGTTTTGAGACTGGCTGGCTTATACTTACAAGCGTTTTTGTTATTAATATTGAACACTTGGAAGTATTTCTTAAAATAGCACTAAGACATGCTTATTAGAAAAACGCTCGGACATGTTTCTTGAAGAAACTCCTTCAAGAAGCTTTAAGTACTTGAATTTGATAGACACTTCTCTAAAAAGCACTTCTATAGCCGAGAAACACTTTTGAATTTTTCTAGCAAATATTGTCAAGTTTTTTTGTTTTTGTTGTTGTAAATAACACTTTTAGCCCTTATAGAAAGTAGAAACAATCTCAATAATCTCTTTTTGAAGTTGAATAAGATAGGTTTGATACAACAAAACTTTTGGATCAAAAGCTATCATGCATGAAATTTGAACACAAACAGTCATGACTTGCTCCAACAATTAAAAATTGGGTGTTACTAGATCAAAATGTCATAAGCAGATTTTGATGATAAATTCAACAATCTTGATTTTGATCTTTGTTTTTTGGGTATATGATTGTACGTACATACGTAAGTGGATGCTTTAACATGCATATATAAATGTAGAATAACATACCTGCAATAATGTGCCATCCAACTAATATGCCTAAAAAATAATGAATCAATTTGGCAGTACTTGGGCAATGATCAGAAAAATTAGAACCTAAAAAGAAAAGATGTTGTTAGCGTTTTGGAATTTAGGGTTTGTGGTTGAGAGTGGTTTAAGTGGAACAAAATTTAGGGTTCGGTATCGTCATTTGTCATATGTGGTGGTTAGCCTTAAGCAGCACGGGTCTTGAGCCGTGCAAGCGCAGGCTAGGTTCTGAGGGAGACTGGTTCCAACCCTAGGACACGTGGCATGGTGTTAATGGTCAAACCAAGTCAGTAGACTAGTAACAGTCTCCATCTGTACTACTAGACCTAGAGGATCAGCCGTTCTTCAGTCACTTTCACCGCCCAGCTGCATCGCTTTGTACTCACTCTCTCTGTTCAACCAACAACCGTACAAGCGGGCATGGCAGTCTACGGTGGGTGATCTACATTGCTTTTGTCATTTGCTGGGTTTAAGTTGCTCGTATATGAAAATGACAAACCCCTAACGCGTTTTGGGTTGATGGGTTTTCAAAATTTGCTTTTGCATGGCAAACCCTAATGTGTTTTAGACATTTCCACGGTCTTTGCGTTGGACCGCCGACTGCATCTGCATAAAGGTAATGGTGGTAGACTGCAACGAAAAAACAAAAAGGGTCACTAATAGTGTCGTGCAATCGACCATTGTGCATATAGGCAACGGACTTCAGTTTGCAATGAGATTTTGACCAATGCAGCTAATGATGAGTTTTTAGTCCTTTGGGTTTGGGGTTACTGATAAAAGTGCTATTATAGTGTTGTGCAATTGACTATTGTGTGTCAACAACTAAATTTAGGAAAATACTTAGGAGATCAAATTTTAGATCATCTTTTATAGACTACATGATGTGACGGTTGATGATTAGACTTATTTTTTATTGATTTAAAGAAGAAGTTCAGTCATTAACTGACACATTACGTAGCTTACAAAAAATAATGTAAGAATTTTATCTATCAATAGTTATATATT